ATAATATATAAAAAGATATATGTATATATATATATATCTCTCTCTTTGCATTTTTTCTCTCTGTCTCTCTCTCAGTCTGTCTGCATCTCTGTTGTTCTCTCTCTCTTTCTCTCTCTCTCTCTCTCTCTCTCTTCTCTCTCTCTCTTTCTCTCTCTCTGTCTCCCTGCGTTGGTTTCTCCTCTCTAGTAGTATGTGACCGTTAAGTGACCACTACATATCATGGCTTCATTCAACACTTCCTCATTTGATTTCTTTTTTAAAGTATCAGAATGTTTTTACATTCCCATCGACACAATCAAAATTATTTATGTGGCTGGCTTCCCACCTTGCCTGAGAGGGATACACCAATTATTAGAGACCAAGAAACTTAGTAAAAAATCTCTCCCCACTCGGGAATAGTTCAGTTTTAGCAGAGTTTTGACGGCGCTCGCAACTGCATTAGGTCATAATATGAGCGCCAATGGGTGAAAGTCAACAGAAGAAAAGTCCATACAGGGAATCAGGCTTACTCTGCTCACTTCTCTTTTTCATAGTAAGAGTGTCACGGCACTTGCAACACAATAAGGACATATAAGCGCCGAAGGTTAGAGGTGTTACAAGAGAGTAACAAACACAAAAAAGAAGGAGGGGAGATCAGGACGATAGATTATGTTTGATAGGAAAGAAGGAGCAAACCACATCAGAGCACCCGCCAATCACCCACTCTCACCTCTTTAGCTTTAACAGCACAAAGTCTGCTTCGACTGGCAATGATCAAGGCACTCCGGAAATAGAGGGTCACAAGAGAGTGACAAGTATACAAAAGAAGTAGAGGAAAAATGACGTTAGTAAGGCTTAGGAGTGTTTTAATTAAAGACATACTTTTTGTCATAATTGAAATGTGTTTTATAAAATTAATAAGGAATAAAACTCGTTTTACATGTATTTAAATTATCTCATATTATTGAATTTTTTTGTTTGTTATTACATTCATTATTTCATTGATACATAGGACACCCGATGTAAATAAAATAGGTCTATGCTTAGCAGTTAAACTTTTGCGTTTCTTTGACCTTTTCAAACCTTCATTTTGAGGTTACAGGTAGGATTTATTGCTTTGCCTTTGGTATTATGATAAACATTCCGTCAAATAAGAGGTGACACAAGCGTTGTACTTCGTTTTCAGTCACAATGATATGTGAGCCGTGCTGACAAAAAGAGTTACTTCTCGCAATCCACAAATCGATATATTGGCCAAAAATCCACACCAGAGTCAAATTTGTAACTTTAAAACAATTGGTGGCATATTCTTTAAATGCCTTTATTATCTTATAATGAATGTGAATGGTAAAAAATTCACCTATTAGCGTGATGTATTTATTTCCATAAGGCTTGAATCCGAGAAGTATTTCATTTTGTCAGCATGTTTCCCATATATAGGATAGAATCTTGAAGCAATTATGTGTCTTACTCTGAATAAGTAATAAAAACTGTCTAATCAGCATAATTGTTTTTTTCAATACTGTATAACAATACATCAAGCATTTTCCATTATTTTGAGAAGCCTTTTCCAACAAGATGAATAAACAACCATGAAGCAATAAAGAACATCAACAGAAAGTAAAATTTTATTTGTTTTTGAAACCGATTTACATTTTGATTTGTTTTCAATATTAACGTATCAAGAGGCAGTGCTCTTGTAAAAAACTTAACAATAATTTTGCATAAACTGTACAAAATTTACAACAAAGAACAAGAATAATATCATATTATACAATATTGATCTAATAGTATATATACAAATTCATAATATGACATAACCTGCCATTTATATATTATACAAATCAGGTATCAACATGATCACCATCAATTGTGGTGGAATAGTTTATTGAGGTGGTTTGGGAATGATATTTCTGGTCTGCAGAGTACTGGATCCCAGAAACAATAATATATTTTTTTAACAGAAACAAGTCTGTGATATTTTCAATACAAATGTCTACAAAACGATGATTTGTTCTTCAGACGGAAATTAGATCTAGGCTCATACACCCTCACAAGCGCGCACACACATACACACCCACACACATGATGTACACACACAGACAAACATACATGCACGCACACATGCACGCACACATGCACACACACACACACACACACACACACACACACACACACACACACACACACACACACACACACACACCCATGATGTACACACACACACACAAACAGACAGACACACATACAAACACACATACACACACATGTGCACACACACACATACACACACACACACATGTACACATACACACATACATGCATACACAATTTATACCCACAGGAAGACGTAACCAGTGAGTAAAATGGTGTAACCTGTACACCTCTTTTGTGGCCTATATAAAATAATAAGAGTGTCAGATCTGAAGTTTAAAAAAAAAGCTTTTTCAGTGTGAAGCATCATTTCTCTCTATTTTTTTTCAATCTTGATTAGACACTTTGGCTTTCAATGAAAATGGCAATCTTCGTCTTTGCATAAAATATGACAATGTAGGTGGCCTAACAGGTATAATATTATGCTCTTCTTCTGCAAACAATAGATGTGGGTTCCATTCCTAAGTGGGAAACTCTATTTCAGTAAGTTGATTATTATCCATTTTTCATATCATATATAAAATATCATTAATAGATATCTAACATTATTGTGGACACTGTATTCCATTTACTCCACCCTACTGAATTCTCCTAGTCCTCCTAGTCGTGCCAAAGGGAGATAACAACATTTACAATGAAAAAGCTCAAATGAGTAAACAAAAAAACCTCCCTTTATCCATTGTTTTTTTTTTTGGGGGGGGGGGGGGGTTTTGTGTGTGTTTTTTTGGGTTTTTTTTTTTTTTTTTGCTTTTTGACCATAATGAAATGTCTATACTTTCTTATGAACACTATAACTATAATGACAATAAGTAGATATGAAATGTTTTATGGCACAACTGACACAATGAGGTCATGTAATCTGGATGAATACGTAATAGATCTATTACGTAAAATACAATAAATTTAAAAGCCAATCACAAAAAAGAACTTATCTAGTGACATAATTATATAATTTGCAAACAAAAGTTTGAGCACTAGATTTGATACTTTTGGCAATATCACAACATTGATAGAAAAACAGATTTAAAAATATAAAATAATATTAATCAATATCATAATGATACGTGTACCATAAATTTACACAATTCAGGTAATTTTGTTGCTAGGCTGTTTTGACTCATAATGTGTTAGTGATGGCCGATCTGGAGGATTCACAACGCTTGGGGGGAGGGGAAGAGAGAGAGAGAGACAGAGAGAGAGAGACAGAGACAGAGAGAGAGGGAGGGGGAGAGAGAGAGAAAGAAAGAGCGAGAGGATTTTACTGCACTCCCAACTGCATAAGGTCATAATAATTATGTTTGGGGTTTTATACTTGAAAAAACAGAATATCTTTCAAGAATGGAACCCCTAGACTAGTGCATTCATGAGTTGACTTCGGTTAAATTGACACCAAAATCAGAGCGGCTACCATTCCAAGCATAGTCATATTCCTTAAGAATATTCTTCTTTACTGCCTTCGAGTCCTCATTGACAAAGGCCCACCTTACACACACTTTATCCACACAGCCATTGGCATTAACAGACTCGTTGAGCTGTTTCCGAATACTGCGGAACATTCCGCTATACCAGGGCAAGCTGAACACACCTCTTGATTTGTCACCTATAACTTTTGAGGACTTGACGTACACCACTTTGATCCGTCTATTTCCGGGTGAATGTACCCCGACTTCAAACAGAGTGGCATGTCCAGGTAGTGTATCCAGTCTGGACTTGCAAAGTTTCAGCAGATCGGATCTCCAGAAATACTGAGAGCCACTTTGAGAGATCTGTCTCCACTGTCCTCTCAGTTTCCCTTGTGCTGGGATCACTGCCGGCTGCCACCGAGACCATGAGAGGTTCTTGTAGGCAAACTTTTGGGCAGAAACACATTCCCGCATGGGACGCAGAGCTGGAGTGGGTTTCTTCTGTGTCGCTCTCTTCTTTCTCTTGGCAACTGCTTCATGTCCGGTTGAGGTTTTCTGTATTATAAAGATGAAAAGAAAAGGACAGAGATGTTAGTCAATAGTTTTAGGGACTTTTTTTATTTTTTTAAAACAGTTTTAGTAAATAAGAGTTCCATGGCACTTGAAATACATGCTGAAGAGGTGTTACTAGAGAGTAACATACAAAGAAAAGGAGTGGAGACAAAAATGATAGAGTTTGACAAGAAAGGAGTAGCAAACTGTACCAGAGCATGTGCTAATTGCCCACAAGCAATATTTTTATCATTCTGAAACTGCGACAAAAACAGCAACAGCAACAACAACAAAAATAACAAAACAATGCATTGTGCACTTAATTTCAAATTCGTAACAAATTAAGACAGGCCTTTTTGTAGTCCTGAATGTAATTGAAAGAGTCTTGGCCCTTGCATGCAAAGATTTTTATGTTCAATTCTAACGAGGAGAAATCCATTTTATTTATCAACTATCCCCTCTCTCTGATGGCATACTCCACCCCACTCCACTAGAATCAATAACAACAGGCAAAGTGGAAGCATCCCGCCACCTAAATGACCTCAGTTGTGTCAAAGGTGAAAAGGTGCGGACGGTTGTAAAAAATTAACAACCAAACATATTAAGTGGCAACAGAACGCTCCTTTCATCTCGATGTACTGTTCATGTGAAAACAAAAATGACAAAGCAGAAACCCTCAAATCACTGCCGGCCAGATACTCTAAACTGCACTGCCTCAAATCAAAGTCATTTGCCAGACAATGTGTCAGTTTTCTGAACTAAAACAGCAAATCTGCCCCTGTGATTTACTATATAAGATCAATGAAAGTAGAGTATAACCATCAAGATTAGAGTCCCATTAATAAAGTAGTGCACTCTACACTTGATATTCTCCACAAATCCCATCCTCTGTTTCCTCATCCTTCGGTTCTGGCACCTTAATCTAAGTAGGGCTTAGTGGTGATGATAATGTAAATTACAAAGCAGTTTTGTAGGAAGCCACCGAGTAAAAACAAAACCACAGAGATTTGATAATAGTACTTACAGTTTGGATTATCTTCCTCTCTTTCTGGTTTAGAACTTTTGCAGCACATCCTCTCTTTGCCCTGGAAATCTGTTTCACATCTGATGGATTCTGGAGATGTTTCGTTGTCTCCTTAGATGCTTTTCCGGTCTTTGAACCTTTTGAAACTTTTATTTTTCCGGAAAGTTTCGTTTCGCTACCTCTCGTAGATGTAGACAGACTTTCACCAAATCCACTGTCATCTCCGTCAAGATCAGAAGCGTCCATGTCTGAAGCAATATCTGCAACATCTTTGTCGTTGTCGTCTTTTTTTCCATTTATCAGACTCTGAACAGAGTCATCATGGCGAAGTGTACCCAGAACATTTTCCAGATCAGCGCCAATGCTTGTTCCTTGCTTTGCACGCAACTCCGCTTCATAATTCTGTGGAGGAAGATGAGCATTGTCCCTGTATTCTAGCAACCAAGCACAAACTAATTCTTCGATGGCAACATTTTTTTGCATACTGAGACCTAAATTCTTAAATGGGCATTGTAGTTTTGAGGATATATTTTGTTACCGGACAACTAAGTAGAATCATTAATTTTTTTTCTTTGCTGCAGTACTATAAACCTTTTACAGAGCTAATTTGACTATAATTATGACTTCTTGACAAACTCAAATCTTCTGGAAATTGCAGCGACCAAGAAGTCAGGCATTTCGTCACTGCTATAAAATATAAAGACATTGACTTTAAAAGCAGAATAAAAAAGTGAGCATTACAAATTTACTTGAACTGTAACAATCAACAAAATTGACGCAGGTGACTGCAAAGTTATAATTTTCTAAGTTCAGCTGCACAAGAAAACTTACCAGAAACATTTCTGCTCCTTGCTCTCTGTAGCAGATCCCCATGATAACCTGGCAGATTGTGCCCATGTTGGCCAGTTTCAGATGTTGACCTCCGGAGTCTCTGGACAGTTTTTGGAAGAATGATGTCGAGTCTGGATCTTCCTGAACTTGAACCCCATATACCTTCACATCCTGGTGACACAAAAAAAACAAACAAAATATTTAGAGCAATTGAAAATGTCAGGTGCTCTCATCGACACAATTCAAATAATTTGGAGGCAGGCTGCTTTGATTCTGTCCGCCAGGGACAACTTGAGGTCTTCGTAGAAAGCCAGATAGATAAAATAAGACTTCACAAAATGGGAATCAAACATGTGGTTTTTTTTAGAGTAGCGGAGAAGAGCCTAATATATAACCATTACAACACATAATTATTATGTCGGTAAAATCAGTTAAACTTTAGCCTATACAAAGTATGAATGAAATAGAAGTTAAATAAAAAGTCTTCAAAATAATTGCATAAACTTGTATAAGAATCAGTTAATAGAGACGACTTTAAGCCTTCAGCTGTGAATCATACAGAAACCAAAATGGGAGCCTGAAGCGAGTGGAATTTTGACTAGTTTTTGTCTTAGTTCTATTTTAAAATTAACGTAGCAAAAAGAAAGTGAGGTGATATAGATTTTAAATTAATGTTATAATTACGTGATCTACAATATTAATTCTCTTTTCTTACAAACCTCCATTTCTTGATCGTTATGATTTCTTTTTCAGATCACATGCCCTTGTGTCAGTTAAAGTAACTAAACAAATTTATACTAAAAAAAAAGACATTTAATAATAATAAAACACAGTTTATAAAATATTTAACATACCTTTGAAATAAGCGTATTGAGTTCCTGGGTCCAGTCAATACCGTCTTTGTTCATGTCGTAGTCAGGACCGTGGGGGTAAGCGTCGCCAATAACAACCAACACTCGTCGACTTCCCGGGCTCCAGGACATTTCGCACGCACGACGAAGAGCGAGCTCGTAGCACTCTGGGATATCCCCACCTCCTGTGCCTTCTGTGTTAGCGACAAAAGTCACAACGTCTGTTGGGGAAAATTTATAACAAACATTTAAACTTTGGATGAGGTTAAGATTTATTTATATAATTCAATTTAAAAACTTGGATGAGGATAAGATTTATAATAGAAGTTCAAACTTTGCATGAAGATAACAATTAAACCATAAATTAATGAAGCATCGTGGCTCCCCTTCTCTCTCTCCTCTCTTTCTCTTTTATTTCTTTATAATTATATGTAGGCCAATGTGTTTTTATGCCCCCATCTACACAATTAAATAGGAGGAAGGCTTTCGACCTTGACGGTTAGGGTCAACCTGGGATACAAAATCCTAGGCCAAAGACTGATCGAGATACTAAATAGAAATTTTCTCCTCACTCAGGAATCGAACTTGGGTCTAACGCAGGCAACAGCGAAAGTGCTATATCTGCTGCACAAGCCCATCTTATATCTATAAAGGTCTTTACAAAATAGTAAAATATATTTTTTAAAATAAAAAAAATAAAACTTACCAACAACGTTCTCTGTCAGGTCCAATAGGCGAATGTCGTAAAAATGCTCAGCATCACAGTAGTCCCCATGGGCGATGATGCCCACTCTAAAGCCGGGTATATCGGCTTGAAGGCGCTGCACAATGTCGTTGATACGACCCTTAACCTCATCGAGCACTTGCGACATGGAGCCAGTGGTATCAAATGAGAAAACCACTTCCATCGGGCCGCCAGGGGGCATAGCCATTTTTGCGTTGATTTTTATTACAGCGGGATCTGAGGAAAATAAAAAGTGTTGTGTTTATTTTTTCAGAACATCAAATTTAACATACACTAATCTACTATACTTCGGATCGTTATTGTTTTAGTAACAGTTTTACGGTCCCTGCAACACAGGTCATACAAGTGCCAAAAGATCTAAGGAGTTATATATATAACTTATATATATATATAATTTAAGAGAGTAGGCCTACAAAAACACAACAAACTATCATTGGAGGAGAGGTTGATAAAGATGATGAATGCTTGATCATAGCTACCACAGTATCCATTAACCACTCTCTACTTGTTCATTTTAATTGTGTGTGTGTGTGTGTGTGTGTGTGTGTGTGTGTGTGTGTGTGTGTGTGTGTGTGTGTGTGTGTGTGTGTGTGTGTGTGTGTGTGTGTGTGTGTGTGTGTGTGTGTGTGTGTGTGTGTGTGTGTGTGTGTGTGTGAAAAATATATAGAATCAAGATTTTTCTAGATCTAGATTTAGATCTAGAAATCTAGGCCTAAATTTAAGATGTCTTGAAAAAAATCATTTCATATAAAGACCTCCCTAGTAGATCTATATAGATCTAGCTAGATTCTAGATTAATGCTTTAGAGAACAATTAAACCATTCTCCCAGGCAGGCACAATCGACTTCTCTTTCACTGTGCGTGTCTACTAGACCTCTAGCTAGTCTAGATCTAGATCTAAGCAGAAACTTAGTTCAATTCAGTAGACCAAGAAGAATCTAGGCTGGAGCTTTCGCTTACTTAATTAGAGCTTATTAGGAGTAGCACTGTTCACTGTGTAATTTAAATCTACTAATCTAAGTCTAAGCCACTGATCTAATGATTTATAATTATTACGACTGAACTCACTGTAAAATCTAAAATTAAAAGAAACAAGTCGCAGGTCTCTCAGATTATGATGGAGACTATGATCAGACAGACTCTGTGATGGATCCTGAAGAGGGGGGAGAGCATGGACGTGTTCTGACTGCAGTGACCCGGCCCAACACAGTGGACAAGTAGGCTAAGACAAGTAAGAAATCTAGATTCCTAGATCAAGAATGTAATCGCACACAACCCTAACTATAATCTAATGATAAATTTTAATTATAAGCAATACTTACAGATATTATTCTTGAAAAACCCAAGTCGACAACTTTGTGGTTCAGTTAAAAGCTGAGTTATTTTCTTGCAATCATTTGTCTTCGCTGTTTGTTGACACTGTTCGGGTTTTCATCAAATTTTATACACTGATCGGAAGCTTCGCGGAAATGAGAACATCAACCAAAACATGCTTCGCGGATACCCTACCTATTTTTAGTATCCTTATTTCCTCATTGTAAGGAGTCTGCTGACAAGCGTTGCATGTTGTGGTGGTGTTATCCAAAAGATGATTACAAAATTCTTTCTTTGTCTGCTTGCTGTTGGGGGTCGAAGGGAGTCGTAGAAAATTAATTGTGTAAACAGATGGACTAATTTGAAGATGGCAGTAGGTGATCCCGAAAGCTACTTTTGTTTTCAGAGCGAGAATGCTTCGCGGAAACAAAACCCCAAAACGAAAGATTAACATACTTCGCGGAAAAACATTCTTATCAATAATTAAAATAGGCCTAGGGGTTAACATTATTATTATTAAACTATTATCAAAGGGCAGTAGTACAAAGCTTAAAAACAATTTAAGGTTGACTGATTTCAAGATGGGCATGAGGGTATAACAATCATACAATACCTTATGCATATTATTATGTAGATCTAGTAGTAGACACTGATCCGATCTACTTTCACTTTTACTTTCAAAACAGGTAATTATTGTAGACCTACCGCCTTAACACACATGATATACCGAGTTAAAATTTATTCTTAAAATTAAAACATTAGAATCATTACAACAACTACCTCATTATTGCGCTCAACCTTTAGCTTTTTTTCCGCTGCAGCAATCGATCGACAATTTAATAATATTATATAGTTTTATAATATTATAATTGTGCCTAGATTTATAGCCCAATTATAGGCTATTTAATCTATAAACAGAGTTCAAATTCAAATGATTATCTCTAAACTCCTTTACCTGCAACAGTTAATTTGAGGGAGACTGATTTAAGTTTTCGTGGCAAAATGAATGCCATCTTAATAGGTAGGCCTACCGTTGTCTTCTTAGTTGAAGATGATTTGTGCTCTACAATAGCTGACTTTTTCTTTTTAACCTCTATCTCTGTAGGGGCCTGCTGAAAATGCGCCGCAGTTTATGCATTTGTGGTGTAGGCCTTAATACCAGAGACGTAGCCATGTAAACATTACTTTGGTCTCTGCTTCGACATTTGTCACTCAAGCGAAATGACTGTGTAAATCATTGACAACTAACATTATCGTGAATTACTGCTCTTGAGCCTGGCAGGTCACAAAATAATTCTACAAAAACTGTTACAGCACTTCCTTTTATGCGATTATGGAACGCTGACTATCTATCTATCTATCTATCTATCTATCTATCTATCTATCTATCTATCTATCTATCGATCTATTTATTTTGAGTGTTTTACAACGGGCGCAACTGCCTAAGTTACATGAGCGCGCGGGACACATTAAATATAATATAATAATGTTATCTATCTGCCTAATCTTTTTGTTTCTGGAAAATGAGATATTACACCATTTGTATTATTTACTTGCTTTTCTATTTGACATAGTATTACGTTTGTCAACTAAGCTGAACTACTATGTCGAACCCTGACAAAACGCCTTTTCTTATTCACAGCAGTTTTTAGAAATCAACGATTTTCGGTTTTGTAATAATAACGAAAATATTTTGCGCAGTAGGCTACATGAACGGTTGATCTCACACCCTGAAGAGAATGCAACTCCTTACCCTCAACAAATAATACTAGGTGGTCCTAAATTGATTACACTAGGCTTCGGCCGCCACTCGAGCTAAATTCAAAATTGCCTACCTATGATTAATGTGTCTCGCACGCCCATACGACCTTATACAGTTGAGAGCACCGCACCCCCCCCCCCTTTTCCCCCTCCCCAACCAAATTTTTTAAAAAAAGAAAGAAAAAGAAGAAAAAAAGTCATTATGATTAAACAGGTAGTCCTTGTGAACAGAGTCACCATAATACCATGTCCACAGTCTTCACGTCTCAGTGAACTCTGTACCCCCGTCATCCCCATCTTTCTGTATGCTTGTGATTTATGGACCTTGGCGTCAGAGCTCGAGAAGAATAAGATCCAGGCAGCTGAAATGAGCTGCTTCAGACGATTCTGTGGCATCTCATACACTGACCACGTCACAAATAAGGAAGTGCGCAGTAGAGTGAAATAACACAAGAGCCATCATTTCGACTTGTTTTTTACTGTGAAGGGAAGAAAACTGAAATGGCATGGGCATGTAATAATACTGTGCAGGGGAGGAGAAGGAGAGGAAGGCAAAGGAAGAAGTGGACCCACAACATTGCGGAGTGGACTGGGGAATCCTTCGCCCAAACATAGGCGCTTGCAAAAAACAAACAAACCCAAAACAAAACCCCCCAAAAAAGTGAAAAGTGGGGGCACCTGACATTCATCGCCCCTGCGATCCTCGTGAATGATGACAATGACAATGACAATGTTTATTCATCTCACAGGGAGAAATTTGTCTTGGTCGTTAACAATGGCAGCAGTAGACATTACAAGGGTTAAGTGCGCTCACGCACACTCACAACAAGACAGGACATTAGAGGTCTAGTAAATACATGTCTCACGTGCTGGGACAACCCGCTCCGTAAAACATCTCTCTCTCTCTCTCTCTCTCTCTCTCTCTCTCTCTCTCTCTCTGTCTCTCTCTCTGTCTCTCTCTCTCTCTGTCTCTCTGTCTCTCTGTGTCTCTCTCTCTCTCTCTCTCTCTCTCTCTCTCTCTCTCTCTCTCTCTCTCTCTCTCTCTCTCTCTCTCTCTCTCTCTCTCTCTCTCTCTCTGTTTCATTTTTTGCTCTGTGTGTTCAGCAACCTCACTGCAGTTGGTATGAATGAATTTCTATATCTGTCCGTTTTTGCTTTTTTGGAAATGTATCGTTAACTGCTGTTCGATAGTTAAAATTCCGATGTCAGTGGCTTTAAGGGATCAGTGACTATGACAGTCGAACGTCTGTCCAATACAATCGCCTGTTCAAACCTATTTTTAGAATCCTTGATATATGGTCTCCCGTCTTAACACTAATTAATTATTAAGAGGCACATCTGAACATGTCCTAAACAACTGTCTCAATTGCTGAATAGAATAAGAGTTATAAACAGGTAGTCCTATTGGACAGTGTCATCAGAATGGACAAAACGCAAACTGGCGGGAACATTTTTGTGTGTGTGTTCGGGAGGAGGGGTGGTGGTGAATAAGTTAGTTTGAACAGCTGTTTGTATTATATTAGACAGATGATTGCTTGCACCGCTTACGAAAAACAAAAATATTTAAAAAATTTAAAAAATTGGCATAGCAACTGAGGTAGATCTACCCATACAGCCAAAAACCAATTAAATTAAAATTAAAAAATACATTAATAATTTTTTTAATGGCGTTCTACAAATATTCCAAGCTAAAAGCAAACTTTGCAGAAGAAGAGCATAAGCGATTCTCCAAACATCCGATACAAAGAAATAACAATCATTGCAAAACGAGATTTAAACAAAAATAAAGGGTTGCTTGGAGGGGTGGGGTAGGGGGGGGGGGAGGAGGGGTAGGGAGTCGGGGAAGATTTTCATTCTTCAAGTACCCGGTATGTACACACGTATTAGCAAGTAGATCTATAGCAAACTGGATGTTTAAAGAAGGAAAAAAATTTTTTTTTAAAATGAGAGCGGCGGGTGGAGTGTGTGTTTGGTTTGTTTATTTGTTTGTTTGTTGTTTTGTTTTGTTTTGTTGTCTTTTTTTATTTGGGGGGGGGGGGGGGTTGTTTTTAAAATACTATGCAGGTAGGCCTACATGCAGAGAGACGCAAAATGCCTCTAAAAATAGGGGGGGGGGGTCAAACACATTTTTTTTAAAAAGGGAATGCATATCCATATATACCCCCCCCCCTTTCCTACCCTCCCCCCCCCCCCACACTCCGTAAAAATATCCCCCACCCCCACCCCCTAAAAAAATTATTAAGATTTAAAAAAAAAAATGAAATAAAGAAAGAAAAGAAATTGTCAACGCTCAAAGTGTGTGCCACGGTCACAAAGTGAGGACAGAAATGTGTCACGACGCGGTCGCCATTACAATTGTAAAAAAACGTCCAAAAATATTGTCGGTTTGCTAGATATTTTTTTTGTCGAGCGGCCGATTTCAATACGATGCATTACAAAACTATTCAATGTTGGACCAGGTCATAAACTCCCCAAAGGTCTTATGGTTACACAATTTGTGTCAATAATCCCCAATACAAGAACGATAATGTTACACAATGCACAATATTTACAATAGGATCAGGTCATGGAGTTCTTGTCAGACCGGCCCAGTTTATCAAGGGTAAGAAGAAAGGACGTATGCACTTATCATGTGTTCTAAGTGCGGGGGTTCTCGTGGCCTAGAGGTTAAGGTGTTCGCCTCTAATTCAAAGGTCCCGCGTTCAAATCTGGGTAGCGACCAAAACGTTTTCTTCTCTAATATTGTCTCCTTTCACCCCCTTTTCAGCTTTCTAGTAATTTTCTGTCGTCTGCTTTCGTCTCCACTTTCTGCCCCCACCCCCTCACCTCCACCCTGGAAAATTAAAACAATTCCTACCAACTGAAAAATGTTTAATGCGTCTCGAGCGCTCACATGACCTAATGCAGTTGCAAGCACCATAAAACACTTACCAAAAAAGTGCATCATCGCTACACCAGAGGTCCCGGTTTGACTGCACTAGCTTTACTTAGTTTTAGTAGAGATTTTACGGCGCTCGCAACAGCACAAAGTCATATGAGCGCCAGAAGATTGGAAGTGTTACAAGAGAGTAACAAACATTCAAAAGAAGAAGGGGAGATAAGGACGACAGATTCTGGATAGAAAAGAAGGAGCAAGCCACACCAGAGCTCCCGCCAACCACCCATTTTCTTTTTGTGCGCTTCTGTACAGCGATATTTAATTTTAGTTGGTATCGGTTCGTTATAGGGCTATTAATTGCTCAATTAAATGAGGCTTAGTCGTGACTTTTGGAGCTTGTGAATATAAGGACACTAAAGAAAACGACCACCCATTTTCTTTTTGTGCGCTTCTGTACAGCGATATTTAATTTTAGTTGGTATCGGTTCGTTATAGGGCTATTAATTGCTCAATTAAATGAGGCTTAGTCGTGACTTTTGGAGCTTGTGAATATAAGGAAA